ATACAGGCTGCCTGCAGGCTCCATGATCCTTGGGAACACATGGTGAAACATACATTTCTCCGAATGTTCCAATGCTGATGTGGGCACATCAGGGCTATTCTACATGACGAAGTTGGAGAACCGTTTTACTCTTGCTTCGCCTTGGTTGAATGATGTTATAGGTCATGTATCCCGATCCCAATGCGTTCAAACCGGAGCGGTTTTTGATTGATGGCAAGCCTAATCCCGCCGTGCGGGATCCAGACATAGCCTTCGGGTTCGGACGGAGGTATGGGATTAGCTGGATACGGCAGCTACGTCCGCTTACCCGGATCACCGCAGAATATGTCCCGGGAGACACTTGGCCACTTCTTCCGTCTGGATAACGATTGTTTCCATACTCGCAACGTTCGATATCCAGAAGGCGGTTGACGACATGGGGAACGTTATCGAGCCGACGGGCGAATATGTTTCGGCGCTAATCAGGTGCACTAGCCCGTTTTATGACACCTAGCGACCTGCTGTCTCTGATTGTGATCCGGCAGCGCTCCGCTCCCTTTCAAGTGCTCGATCACCCCGCGCTCAGAGGCGGCAGTGGCGCTCATTAAAGGAATCCTGTAGCCGGTTCTCCTCTCGTGATGGAGGAATTATTATGACAGCGCAAGAACGGCGATAGGAACTCAATACATGAGCGGTGGTGCTATGACCAAGAATTACTGGAGGGATAAGAGGTGCGAGGAATCGAGAAATCTAGTGTTTGAAGTGTCGTGTTACATACTACTAGTGTCGGCACCGAGGTTACTTACGATATATTTATGTTAGGTTGTTCTGAGGTTATTGCATTGCACGCACAGAGTATACTGTCCGGCGTCTGAGCCAGGTGAGTCGCTTCGAATAAAACGTGAGAATCTTGTCGGCCCCTGTTAAGCCACTGGCACTCTTTCCCCCGCGCCCGACCATGTCACTACTGCTCGATGGCCAGGCCGGTCGTTTCTCAGGGAGTAAACCTATCGTCTTTGCTTCACTCCTGCGCTCGTTTCTGCCACCTCGACCTTCTGCCTCCGCCTCGCGTTTTGTTATCACGCTGCAAACTTCTCTTCGCGGGATTTTCAACATAATCTTGCCTTACGATGTCTCTTCACACATCACACCAGACGTCGTGCTCGATATAGACTGGAAGGCTTGTGTGCATGATCAAATGCATATTATAGGCTGGGGAAACTCTGCCCCTTCCTTCGATACGTTCACTTTGATATGTTGGTATAAATTGCACAGCACATCTCATGTATTTGCTTCAGTCCTTGTTGTGGACGGGCGGCTTCAGCTTCTGTACCCGTTACAAGTTCTGTCATAGACCCTCCTGTAGGCCCTGCTGGAAGTCCCGTTGTAAACCCTGTTCGAATGCACCTAGACATTATGATCGCAGTTTTTTGGTTTCCAATTTGGCATCAATTGAAAGCTTTCCGTGTCCATCCGACCAACGCTGCCAATATCCAATGGAAGAGCCCTCCTAGGTTTACACCGCCACTACACGCAAACATATCTATCCTGTCTATTTTCTGGATACGCTCCATGAACAAGGCTCTTCCTCGAGAGCATCAACATCCGCGCCCCACCTCCTGCGGTGCCACCTATGGCGGCTCCCGCTGCCCCACTTCCTCCTTCCGGGATGATGCCGGAGGTCTTGGCTGGGGTGAGAATGGCGCTCCAGGGCATGGGGGTCGCGCGCGAGCTCCTGGTGCAACTTAACTCCCTCAGATATCCTACTGCCACTGCCTCTGCCACGAGCGGTATGAGGCGCACATCTGCCGCCCTGGGTTGCCCTCGTCTCGCGCTGTCCTTCCTCTGCTCTTGCACCATCTCGCCTCTTGCTCGCGTGCCAAATCATGCATGTATTTCTATCATCTTGCTTGTTGCCCCCTATCTTGGTTCTTTCTTGATTTCTTGGACTACACTTGTATATTACCCCCCCCCCCCCCCTTGTCTTGCGTGATTTCTTGGACTACTGCAAAAATTCTTGTGTATCACGCCCGTAACATTTTGTATTATTATTTGCATATTTTGTATCCTAGTTGTAGCTACTTTTTTGCTCTACCTACAGTATTGCCTCCTGAAGGCTCTGAATACCAATGCTGTTTCCATGTAAATGTGATGGAGCTTGTGAGTGAAAAATAGGTCAGACACACGCGTGCGTCGGAGGTGCGGGAGGAGGTGCGGGAGGCGGGAGGCGCCACGCTGCAGCGGCGGGCAGGACTGGTCGAGAAGGGCATGTGGAAGCACTGCCACAACCTCCTTCCCTTCGACGCCTATCCCGGCCTCTTAGGAGGGTTTTACTACTACAGGGTAACCCCCCCTCCCCCCCATTCAGGCCACCACGTGAGCTCCCTTAGGTGAACATATGACGCGGCTATCACATGGATCAACCGGGTGGGAGACGCACACCGAGGATTGCCAAATTTAGGCAGCACCGAGGTGCTATTTGAAAGCCAAAGTATTGAGTTATAATGAAATCGGTCTGAGACTGTGATTAAATGGTTTCAATCCAACTGATGGTGTCTGTTAAACTCGTTGAATAAGTTTGAACTTCAACTTCCCTGAAATCAAATTGAAACCTCTACATGTCAGATTATAAGAGAGACTATCACTGGTTGAAGCTTTCAAATTTTTGACTGAAAAAACTGGTGAAAAATGTTTTGAATTTTTACACAAGTTTTTCGCCAAAAATGTAGGTGAAAAACTCAAGAGTTTTTCAGCAGTTTTCCATTTTATTTTGAAATTTTCACCTAAAGTTGAGAAACTTTTGAAAATGATTCAACTTTTTTACCTACATTTTTGACGAAAAACCTCTGTAAAACTCAAAACATTTTTCACCAATTTTTTTGAAATCTTCAACCAGTATATGGTGGTCCAAGTGCACTTTTAATCAAGCAAAACTTTTTTGGTCTTTTTTCGCGTTTTGCGAAACTTTCATGGTAAATTTGATGGTTTGCGAAACTTTTATTGGGCTTTGCGCATTCTAAATAAGTTTCGCAAAAAGTGCCATTCAGCGAAACATATGTTCGGCCGAACTTGACTTGCGAAACTTTTGTTGATCGCCCGCGAAACTTTTATTACCCGAAGTCACACAAGCGAAACTTTTATTTGCTGGAGGACTTGGCGAAACTTTTACGAGCTTGTGAAACTTATTCGCAGTTTTGGACTTCTTTGCCTCGTACACACCGACCCCACACCCCAGGGAAGAGGACTGGGCGCTCACGGTCACGTTGCTCCTCATCTGTGCAATCGACGGGTGGTTCATGCTCGCACTCGCGGTGAACCGCGGTTCGACCACGCTGCATGGCTTCCTCTTCAAGATTGTCTACCACAAAGCACGGCAGCATGATCAACCTCGAGATAGAGAAGATTGTTGTGCACATGACAAGCATCTACCAGCCGCTCGGCATCGTCTTCTTCGGGTACCCAGCACCCGCCGTTCATGCAGGAGGAGAGCACGACACTGGGGGCTTCCGGCGCGGGAGACTAGCATAGCCTTATATACCTTATATAGCTCAATCGAGATTATTATTTTTGACCTTGATATTGTGTAAATTTTGACAAGTCCAAAACCGCGAATAAGTTTCGCAAGCTCGTAAAAGTTTCGCCAAGTCCTCTGGCAAATAAAAGTTTCACTTGTGTGACTTCGGGTAATAAAAGTTTCGCGGGCGATCAACAAAAGTTTCGCAAGTCAAGTTGGAACGGTTCAACGAATGTATGTTTCGCAGAATGGCACTTTTTGCGAAACTTAGTTAGCATGCCCAAAGTCCAATAAAAGTTTCGCAAAAGCACAAAAACACGATATAAGTTTCGCAAAACCCAAAAAAGTTTCGCTCGAATAAAAGTGCATTTGGACCGCCATAAGAGACCAGCTGAAATCAGAACCTAAAGTATTTGTGTCATTATGCATTTCAGTCCTCCTTAAATGTACACCATATCCGATATTTTTTCTACCTGCTAACTTGAATAGGTCAGCGATATTTCAGTGAAAGCGAACGGGGACAGATGAATATTCGGACGGGGAGTCGAACCCCGGGCTGCCTCGTGCAACTGCAAGAAATCTACATAGAGAGAAGAGGCTGCGTATCGTACACCACGTCCGATGACTTATGGCCCTGTGAACTCTGATATGTGAGCAATATTTGGCAGCGCGTTCAAAAAGACTTGCAGAACGCAATTATTCGGGCACGGGGAGTTGAACCCCGAACTGCCTCGCACAACTTATCGCGTGCAGCTCCAGGAGAGGAGGCCGTGTACCGTACACCATGTCCGATGATCTTTCTATCTGCTAACTTGGATAGGTGAGCATCTTTCGCAGAGGCGAATAAAACACAGAGCACCCAACTATTCGGACGGGGGGAGTCGAACCCCGGGCTGCCTCGTGCGACTCTTGAACATTAACGTTAAGAGAGGAGGCGGTGTACCGTACACCATGTTCGATTATTTCTGGACCTGTGCAGCTTGGATGGTGAGTGATATTTGCCAGCAGCGAGTGAATAAAAAGAAGCCAGGACAATGGGCATTCGAACACGGGGAGTCGAACCCCGATCTGCCTCAGATGACCTCTTTGAAGGTTACAAAGGAGAGAGGCCGTGTACCGTACACCATGTCCGATGATTTCTGTATCTGCTAACTTGGATAGGTGGTGAGCATCTTTCGCAGAGGCGAATAAAAAAAAGAGCACCCAACTATTCGGACGCGGGGAGTCGAACCCCGGGCTGGCTCGTGCGACTCTTGAACATTAACATTAAGAGAGGAGGCGGTTTACCGTACCCCACGCCCGATACTTTCTCCAGCTGCGGCGCATGAAAAGTAGAAGACCCAACTTTTCAGACACAGGGAGTCGAACCCCGGGCTGCCTCAGCACATTCATTGAGAACAATCCAGCGAGAGACGGTGTACCAGACTCCGTGTCCGAGTCGAGAAAAGTTGGCTAGGTGAGCGATATTTCTCTGCGGTGAATCAAAAAACCGGTAGCAGAGCAAATATTCGGACACAGGGAGTCGAACCCCGGGTTGCCTCATAATTTTCCCTTCGCGATTTGAATAACAAGAGAGGCCGTGTACCGTACACCATGTCCGATGATTTCTGTACCTGTGGAGGTGGATAGGTGAGCAATATTTCGCAGCACGTACCCAAGCCTCAGACCTAAAAGAAAATCGAAATGCAAGACGCACTTATTCGGACACGGGGAGTCGAACCCCGATCTGCCTCACAATATTCTTGTGTTCAGTGGACGCAACAAGCGAGGCGGTGTACCGTACACCATGCCCGATGCTTTCCGTACCTGTAAACTTGAGTAGGTGAGCGATATTTGCCAGCAGTGTCTTCAAAAAGGACGTGTACGCTCCGCCAGGTCCGATGCTTTCTGTACCTGCGAAGCCGGATAGAATAGGTGCGCATTTTTCGCGGCGTGTCCCCAAACTTAGATGCGAGCCAGGAGGAATAAGTAGCGCTGTGGGCAAGTTGGAGGCAAGAGGCAAGAGGCGTCGGCTCAAGCCGAAGGCTGTGCGAGTGTTGTAGCATGTTTACGTCCAACCTCCTCTCCCGCGCGAGTCGTCTGAATGTCTAGTCCGCGACGCGTGCTCTAGACAACGATACCCGACTGTTGTTTAACCACCTCAGCTCAACGCTGCCGCCAGAATGCCTGCTACTTGCGCCTAGAACTCTCAAACCTTGATTCTCGACCAAAATTGAATGTGCAGCATGCGGCAGTCGTCCTTGAGTCGTCCTTCTCGAAGCTTGTTGAGGGCGTCGTTTGGACCCTTCTTGATGGATGTTCCGACATCGCGAATTGCGCGCTGGATTGTTGAAGAGGAACGACGCGGGTGAGTACTAGTCTTTGTCGCTTTCGCTGACTGATGCTGACCGCGCACCCGCAATCCAGCTCGTCATATCTTAGCTTCCAAGGTCAAAGAGAAGGGACGCATACCTTGATTCTCTTCGCATGGCGGTCGTGGAAGACAGCCGCATCTAACGGACGGGAAGTCATTGCTCCGACGCACCCAGACATCATCCCATCCCTGCGCCTCCACCCCATCCTTCATCCGCGCACATGATACGGCTTAGGCTCTCGGCGCAGTCGACGTCAATCGTACACCTTCCTTCACCGTTGCTCCGCCTCCCTCCGCTGCATCGTGTACGTATCCCAGCCCCTGCACCCCTGCGTCCGCGCTCCGCATACCTGTCCGCGTCCGCGCCACCCACTCGGCGGTGAGGCGAGGGGCAGGAGAGCGCACCTCGCGCGACAGGCAGCGAAGCGGCCCCTCTACCCGCTTGCTTGTGGCGTGCAGCGTCCGGGCGGCGCTCTGCGCTCTTCTGGGCCGCGACGACGACGAGGACGTGCAGTATTAATACGAATCGAGACTGGCGAGGCGAAGGACGCACAGGGGAGGGAGCTCCTCTTATCGGCTCGCGCGCCCGCGCTGCGGGGACAATGGCGCTACGGTGCGCCGTCCTCTCCCCAGCCTTCCCGCCCCTCCCGCTGATCAGCGTCGCTCAGATGGCGTACTCGCGGGGACGGGACACGACACGTGGCCGCAGACGTATATGACGTCGAGACGAGGACGAGGTGGCGTACGGGGGCTGCGGCGACGCGGGGGTGGGATATACGTATCCCGTATCCGCCTCCCTCCCGGCAGCTGATTGGGGGCTCACGCTGTTAGGGCCTGATACTCACGGCGCGCGCGTCTCCTGCGGCGTACCCTGGCGCACACGTGGAGCTCAGCGCGCGCTGGGCGTCTGCACTTGGCCCTGGATGCACTCGCTGGGATGGGACTAGGATGGGACGGTGCGTATCCGCCTGCGCACGTCCTGGGGCCCAACTGATTTGGATGTCAGTGGGGTAGGGCTTGATGCTCGCGCTCCGCCTGCAGGGAAGGGCTCGCTACCCTCGGCGCACACGTAGAGCTCAGGGCACGGCAAGGACGCACCTGCACCAGGATGCACGCAGCGCGTCTGGACCTCAACGTCGATGCACGTGCGGAGCGGACGGGGATACGACGGTGCGTATCCGCCTGCGCGTCCTGCGGCCCAGCTGATCGGTGTCGAGGCAGTAGGTCGCGGTGTCCGCGCGCTGTGTCTGCGCCCCATCCTCGGCGCACGCGGCACACTTGAGGCTCGGCGCACGTCGGAGGGGCGTACCGCGCAGCGCATCTGCACCTGGAGGCACTCATGCGGCAGATACGACTGATCTGACGGTGCGTATGTGCCTGCGTGCGTCGTTGCCCCCAACTGATATCGAGGCGGTAGGTCGCGATAGTCACGGCGCCCGCGTCGCAGGGGACCCGCGGCGTGCCCTGGCGCACGCGTAGAGCTCAATGCTACACGTCTGCACCTGGATGCACGCAGCGTGTCCGGACCTGGCCCTGGATGTGCACGCGCGGGACGGATACGACGGTGCGTACCCTCCCGCGCGTCGCAGCCCCCAGCTGATCGGTCTCGATGCTGGAGGGCTTGATATTCGCGCGTCGCCCGCAGGGGAGGGCTCGACGCCCTCGGCGTACACGTGAAACTCAGCGCGCGGCAAGGATGATTCGGACGCATCTGCACCTGGATGTACGCAGCGCGTCTGGCCCTGGACGTGGATGCACTCGCAGGGCGGATGCGACTGGTCTGATGGTGCATGTGTACCCTCCAGCGCGGCGCTACCCCCGGCTGATCGCTGTCAAGGCGGTAGGGCTTGATATTCGCGCCCCGCCTGCAGGGGAGGGCTCGACGCCCTCGACGCACGGTACTTTCGGCGCACACGTGGAGCTCAGCGCGCGGAGGGGCCGGCGGCAGTGAAGCTGCTGCGCCGTATGGAGTCTGTCGTCTGAATCCTCCGCCGGCGGTGCTCGTGCTAGTGCGGAGGCGCGTCCCAGTGCTCGGATGGCAGCGGATGGTGCGGGTGCGGGCGCCGGGTGCGGGTGTGGGAGGGCAGGGCAGGGAGGAACGCCGACGGGGTCCACACACTTGCGCTCTCCCGCGAGTCTGCACACACATACGAGGAGCTTCCTTCGCGGAGCTGGCGGCATCGGGCTAGAGAGCGTCGTGCAGCGGGCGAGGGTGGCGCGAAGGAGGGTCTGGACGAAGGAGAGGGCGAAGGAGAGGGTGAGCGAAGGAGAGGGATGGCGTGGAGGATGGGGAGGGCGTGGAGCCGCCCGCGTCCGCCTCTCGTCTTGCATTTCTGTATCCCCATTCGGCGGCGGGACACGCAGGCATGTCTTCGCCATTCGTCCCTCTTGAGCTCTTCGCCATTCGTCCATCTTCGTCCCTTCGTCCGCCCCGCGAAGGAGATGCAGGTGAAGGAGGGGAAGGGTGGGTGGGAGGAGGGGGAGGAGGCACGTATGGAGCGTCCTCGCGGCTCGCGGATGCGGAGCGCTCGTTTCGACCTTGCGTCCGGCGGTGAGCTGCTGGAAAGGGAGCTCGAGACGAGGAGGGGCCTAGATCGACGTACATCCGCGACGCGACCCTGCGCCGTCCTCCCTCATCCCCATCCGCGTTGTTCGCCTGCGCTGCGCTCCTCCTCGTACCGCGGCGGCCGCTGCGGACGACGGGGTGGGGGGAGGGGCAATGGCCGGGAAAGAGCTCGCGCGGTAGGAGCTGCGGCTGATCCACGATGATAAGGCTCCGCGTAGGCTGCGGGGAAGACATAGACGCGAGGCGAGGCGCCTTGGGCTTGAATCCGCGCACGCGGATGGTCCTGTGCGCGGGGGTGTCGCATGGCATCGCCGCACGCGTCGGCTTCGCGCATCGGGTCGAGATGGCCTCCGTATTCAAAGCGGCGCGCCCTCCCTCGTTATCGCGGAGAGCTGGAAGCTGCCCTGCTTATGTATCCTCCGAGGCGTGTGCTCGTCGGTGGCCACGGCTAAGTACACTATCATAACTCTTCAATGAGCATGCAGGGCTGAACGAGTCGCGGGCTCCAAGTGGCAAGTCCAAGTCCCGATAGCTGTCCCGATGTCTATAAATACCAACGCTCAGGCTCCGACGTTGCCGCACATGGAACTGCCGCGCTCTGCTTTTTTTTGGAAGCAAGTCTAGTCATCCATGAGGTGAAACAGGCGAACACCCGGTCCGCGCCCGATGGCATCACTCTCGATAGGTCATCCCGCCTCCCGTTGCATGATACTTCATTTATCTGAATTACTGTCCGCTTCAAACGAACCCCGTTTACTCAGGCGCTACAGTACCTGCTACATGATGAGGCCAACGATCACGCTGTTCCGAGGACAATACCTATGGGCGGCTGAGCATCTCTCGTCGCTTTCCAAGGCGAGTCGAGGGCTCACTGTATCCAGGGCAGCGACCCAACTCGCATATATTTGGGACCGCTGCGACGGATGTATGGCGAGGCTGGACAGAATCCCAACAGATTAATACAGGGACAGAGGGCTCCACACAAACTCTTCGATCAGATTTATGCCAGATGATGCTGTCCCGCCCTTTCTGACTCTTAGTCTGTCTTAAAAATGCCCACCTTTCGCACCTAGCCCCCAATGGCCAGTCCTTCCCCGTTCCCTCCTACACCTGCCGAGCTTGGGGAGCTGCTGCTTTTCATACAGGATGGTAGGACCATAACCTATCTCGCAGGTGCGTGCGCCTGGCGCTTCGGTCATCTATCTTCCTCTAACGAATCAATTCAGTTGCTGCACTCGCACTTCTCATGTCCGTCAACTCATTCTCTCGAGACATAGCCCTGAGTAATTGACCGTCCAGCTATGACCACATTCTTTCCTTTGATCATGAGGTGCAGTGTGCTCCTCCGCCCTGCTAATTCTCTTCCGACACTCCCCCAAGATCGAATTCGTATGGAACAAACGGAAATCGTTCGGAGGTTACCTCTATGTATGTGGTGGCGATTAAATGCTGCTTGCATGTGCTCATGAAGTAAACAGCTCTGGGTAGGCAAATTTGACAACACGCTGTTCTTCCGGCACCATATAATGATACTCAGAATCGATACTGGACGTTAATAACCACCTGGTGCTGTCCCAGCTTTACAAATGCAGCGAATTCTAAATCGTTCTGAACAGTATCAATAGCAGCAGTACGTCCTCCAATAGTGGTCCAGCGCTCCGTGTAATGCTCTAATCCCAGTT